AGTTGCCAGCGAATCATAACAAAAATCTTACATTTGCCAGGACTAGATTATTGGCCAGAACAATTTTCCCTAAAAGTATCTACCTATTTTACTAGGTCTGATACAGTCGGAATACTCCAGGCCCTTTCTTTTAAATGTTGTCATCTAGCAAGGCCAAGCCAACACATTTTCTCAGTAGCAGTCTTTGTAACATTCTTTTTAACTCTTTGTAACATTCTTCCACGTGATTCAACAGACTACTACTTGTTTGGCCTTCCCAAAAGTCCTGAAGTACTGGATTTTCCCACAAAAATTAGAGTAGCATGTCCTTCTTGGATATGAAGGATGTGTGTTTGGAAGGCACAAGACAAATTTTATGTTGCTTTTAGATGTTTTATTGTTTTATTACTATTATAAGCTGCCCAGAATTATGATACATAAAATGGGCACTATACAATATTTTAATTAAATAAAAATTTATCCAAACTGTCTTGTGCATTTTCACATCTAGGCCACCAGAATTTCTGTTTCTATTTGTCTTTCAGTTAGACAGACTAGCACATTCCTTTTTAACCTGCCAAACAGTTCTGCCCACTAGTGACTTTCAGATGCTTATGTGAGTATCTAATGCAGGGGTGTAGAACTCCAGGCCGGATCTGGCCTATGGAGCAGTCATGAAAATGGCGAATGACCTGCCCATGGTGCCTCTGCAGTGAAAACAGGGCCTGGGAGGGCTGCGTGCACCCCCCTGGCTTCATTTTTTTTGGCAGAGCCCTTCCCAGGAGCCACCAAGACTCCTCCCACTGTGCTTCTCTTCTTCCTTGCCAGAAATGCTCACACGCCCAGTGGGAAGGAGACGGCTTGGCGGGTGCCAGAGGGGCAGTGAGCGCTTTGTGGTTCCTGAGGGGAAGTGTTGAGCCTCCCTCTCGCAACATCTTCACCTGAGGGCATCGCTGGCGGCCGCTTCCTCAGGAGGTCCACGCTCTTCCCGTTGCTGCTCGGCCTCCTCGATGTGTAGAGACAGGAGCCATGACACGAGTTTGCTAGGAAGACTGCAGGATTGCCCCACCTCCCCGCCAGCCATCTGGTCTTCAGTACATGGCTTGTTGGCCTGCGGACATCAGATTCCCAACACCCAGCACCAGTTCAGAGGTTCCTTTACCCCACCCCCACAGACAGAGGTCGGGGGGAGAGAGAGACAAGACACAGAGAGAGGGAGAGGGAGAAAGGGAAAGAGAGAGAGAGGGAGGGAAAGAGAAATGAGAGAGAGAGAGAGACAAGGCACAGCTAGAGAAAGGGAGAAAGAATGGGTAGGGGGAGAGAGAGACAAAACACAGAGAGAGAGAAAGAGGAAAAAAGAGAGACAACACAGAGGGGGGGGGAGAGAGAAAGAGGGAGAAAGAGAAGGGAAGAGGAAAAGACAGAGAGAGGGAGAGAGAGAGATGAGAGATCCCATTGTTTTGTTTTCTCTGGGAAACGGGTCCAAATGACTCTGACTATTTAAGGGTGCAGAAACAGGCAGCCAAGCTAAGTGCCTGACGGACCCTATCCCGTCAGTGGGAGTCCAGCTGCTTCAGCAAGCAGCATGCTGGATATTAGTGGTCCCCGGGATTTAAAATTATGAATTTGGTGGTCCCGGGATTTAAAATTATGAATTTGGTGGTCCCTGAGGTCCAAAAGGTTGGACACCCGACTTATTTGGTTACTTCAGAAAGTAGATGATTAGAAATGAATATCAAAACATGTAAATTACTTGGTTTGCTCAATGGGTTTATCATTGTTTTGACAATTATAGGAAATTTTAAAATTGTGAAAACTTTGATCCTTGTTTTAGCATTACTAATGTCTAGGTTATCCCTAATACAAAAGAATTCTACTGCTCCTTGGCATTCATGAAGGCCAACTTGGTGGCATGGATCTATTGCGGGAGGGAAGCTAAAGTTGAGTTTTGCAAGGGATGTCATATGTGCATCCATTCTTTTGTATAAAGTTTGTCCTATGTAGAATCCAAGGGGCATTGCTGACAGATAGTACTATCACACTGGAGGAAAAGTATTGTGAAAGTGTATAAAAGCAAAACAGTAATTTCCAGATTAGAAACAAAATCAAAGCAAACAAACTTTGACTTAGCAGTTAATACAGTAGATATGTCACCTGATAGAAATCAGAAAAACACTGCATGCATTAGAAGTCTGTAATATTAATTATGGGGAAAGACTCTTATTCATAAAGTGCTGCTGTCAGGAACCCTCTAAGAATCCCTATTTTTTTAGCAGCCTTTCCACCTCTAAAAGACTCAAGCCACCTTTGTAATTGGTCAGCTGTTACTTTTTTTTAAGTACAAGAGCATGGTAACCAATCAAAATCAAAGTAATCACACTTGCTAGACAAGAAAACCAATCCCTTACCACTTTTGATAACTGACCTTTATTTTTAATATTTTAAGCTATCTAAATAATAAAATTTAATTATACTTTCCAACATCACTTCATTATCTATTATCATTTTTCATCTTTATATTCTCATGTTACTTTGTATCAGCCTCTTTATTTTTATTCATGCTCTATCTTCCTTAATCATATATTCTACGTTTACAATTTAATCTGTTCATATCATTTCATTAATCATCCGAAATTTCATCTGAATTTATGATTATCCCTTCTCTAACTTCCTTAATAATTTTGTAATCATGTTTATATTTTCAAAACTGTAACAATATATCCTCATTACTTTATACAAATGGATAACAAAATATTTAATTCATTAAAATGATATTAATCAATCACTAATTTCCTTAATCATGTATACTTATGCTCACCATGTTTACAATTTCATACCATTCTTTAAGCATTTAAAAATTCCATCTTAATTTATATTATCCCCTATTATATTCCCCCAGTATTACATTTGCTAGTTGCTTATATTTTATTTTCTATATGTTCCCTTCCCTCTAACATCTCATTTTTATACAAGTATATTTTCTCTTAGCCAATAAATTCAAACTTATATTATTACCTCATTATCTTATATATACGAATAACAAAATATATAATTCATTAAAAATATTATCCTACCATATGGTTATATCTATTGTTAGACTCCACATAAAATTTCTTTTCATGTCTTAACTATTAATCACTTACATCTTAAACATTTCTATCTTACTTAATCTATTATAAATTCTTATTTTCATCACTATTACATTAACATTATTCCTTCTTGCTCTAATTCTTAATCCCAATTCCTCAAAGTCTATTATATATATTTTACTACAAATATACCTCTTAATGTGGAGTCTCCCTCCTTTCCATTTCTAACCATTATCTCTAAGTCTCTTTTATATTAATTAGTCGTTTCTTTGCTTGCTTACCATTTACTATCATCTTTTGGCTTTTTCCTTTAATCCTTCCTCTATTTATCATCATTTTTTTATATTTTCTCTCCCATTTCACAAAGTTTGCCCCCACCCTCTTTTTATCTCCTCTCTGTATTTCCCTAACCATTTATCAGCATTCCAACTTCAATATCCCCCCCTTATTTATTATATCTATCATTAATAGCTCACGTTCAACTTTTTTCTTTTGTATTATTTGTTGTTCCTTTTGTTCTGTTTCACTGGTTCCTCTTTCTTCTGACTCCTCCTCCTCCTTTGTTCTTTCTCCTTCTTCTGCTACCGTCGCCATTTCTGAATTTTATTTTCTGTATTTTAGTGCATAAATCCAACATTCTGTCCTATATCTCATTCATTGCTCGAATGTCCATCTTTATTTCTTTGCATATATCACTCATCTTGATATTGTTATTCCAATTGTCCAGTAACCAGTAAGTTTTATTTTATTTGAACCAGTGCCTCCTTTTTATTTTAAAATGTCAATGTCTTCAAATCTTTATATCCCAATGTTAATCAGTCCAAGTCACCAACAATTCCAGGGGTAGTATCCTTACTTTTTGATTATAATATACTTCAACTTCCAAGGGTCCTATTATAGTATCTTTCTTTTATTCCTTTTTTAATTTCTTCCTTTGATAAAATCGCTAATTTGAAGGGATCTACAGGATTCTTCTTTCATCAGTAAGTGGTGCTTTTAGTCCAGTTTCACAGTCAACTTTTTCCATTTCTTTATTTAGCTCCACCAATTTTAAAAGTCAAATATTATTTCTCTTTAAAACAATTATTTCCAGCATTCAAATTAATGCTTTATAGATGCCAAATCCTGCCCGATCACCAAATTCCAAATTAATATTCTTCCAAATTAATTCCTTTTCAAATTTAAAGTTTTTTTTAAAGAACTCTTTATATTCCCAATTTCTTCTGTCTTTCATCTGCCGCTAGCATAATTCTTTATTCTTCTCAGTTATAATCTTTTGGGGTAGTACAAATAAAATAAATTCTTCTCACCCTTCTCCAAACACTGTTCCCAATCTCCACTCCAGCGCTGTGCTTAGATGTTTCTTGGCTGTCCCAACTTTGTAGCGGCCATCTTGGCACATTCTTCTCTCCGTCGTTGCTTAGACAGCAAGCTTGGGGTTTTTTCTATAGAGAAGTTGCATTCTCCCCTGGAACCTCACCGGGCACCTCTCCTTTGCTTTGCCGCCCCTCTAAGGCAGCTTTCGGCTCCGTTTGGAGCCCATAAATGGCAAGAAGCCAACGCAGGAACGGAGACCTCTGTTTGCTGCTTCTGATCTTGTCGCGATCTCAGCTGGAAGTTCTGCTTAAAGCAGTCTTGAAGCACTCAAGATAATATGATATCCCACCTCATTTTCTGTTCAGACCGATAACTGTTTAACCATGAGACAAACTTGCTAGATTCATATATGCAAAACCATGATTATACTAAATAAAGCAAGGATAAATGATTCTACAAATTATGGTTAATTATCTTTGTTTAAACCCTAGCCTTGGTACAGATGATATGGATGAGTGGGTCATAGAAATTTGGTATAAACGCTGCAGAAAAAAATGAGAAAACAAGAAAATTGAATGTAAATAAGATAAATGACAAACAGGAACCATTACTTACATTCGTCCTATACCTTCATACATCCTTGTTTCTTCAGCCAAAGTCATGATCTCTGTGTCTGTAAGATGTGCATGCTTTTTTGTTCTGTTCAGCTGATCTATTTGTATATCTGCCAGTTTCACCTTTTGCTGGGTTTCAATGACTTTAGCTTGAAGTTCAGAAAATGCCTGACATGGAGAACAATACAAATGTAACTTAAAAAAAATCTGTGACAAGTCTTCACTCTTCACAAAAACCTCTCGGTCTCTCTATACAGGTTGTCCTTGACCTACAACCACAATTGAGCCCAAAATTTCTGTTGCTAAGTGAGAAACTCACTTTGTTGAGTTTTGCCCATTTTTAACGACCTTGCTTACCACAGTTGTTAAGTGAACCACTGCAGTTGTTAAATTAATAAAATGAATCCCCATTTACTTTGCTTGTCAAAAGATCGCCAAAGGTGATCATATGACCTGGGACACTGCAACTGTCATAAATATGAGTCACTTGCCAAGCCTCTGAATTTTGATTGTGTGACAGGGGGCTACTGCAATGGTTGTAAGTGTGAAAAACAATCATAAGTCACTTTTTTCAGTGCTTTTTTCCCCACTTTTTTCATAACTTTGTATGGTCACTAAATGAACTGCTATAAGTCAAGGACCACCTGTAATCCATTTTAATTTTTTTAGTAGCTATCTAACTAGTCATTGATTGAAAGAGAAAAGCCAGGTCAACTTCAGAAAATCTAATGCATGAGTAGTGGCTGACACCATGGTTAAAAATGGTAAGAGAGCAGACCTCCTTTTCTCCCTATTGCAATCTCTTACCAACAGCATGTACTATATATTTAAACATCAGATAAATTAAAGAAACATGTAAAATATGCATCAAATATCAAAACATATTGAAAATATGTGTCTTTAATGATACATAGCAAGCAAGACACAAATATGTTCCAATCACCAAATAGTAATCTGGAATAGCCCTGTTGTTAATCAGATTAAATAATTCAGAGAATGATGTAAAAATTGGGAATTGCCCACCAGGGCCTGCATCACAGCTTTGAAGTATATTTTATTGGTAAAAATATTTACCATGCATTATATAATTGTAAAAACAATTCTGCAAGGTAAATGGTGAGTACTATTCATTCTGCTGTACATTTGTTCTACATTCTACAAACTCCTTTATAACTGATTCATATAATGTACCAAGCAAAATCTATGTTTTTAGTGCAATGCATGAACAGCTTTATATTCTCCAGTTATGTATGGACTCAATGAGCTTTATCACTTTGTGGAGACTTTTACTTACTTATGATAGCTTAATTTATTTCTTTCACATAAAGAAGCAGATCCTGAAGATTCAAATTGGGTGATATATTAAAATTTAAAGAGACATGGAAAGATTTGTAAGTCAAATAGTTAACTAATATGCTTGTCTTCCATGCAGCCTAAATGACAAGACAAAATCAGAAGTATAATCACCTTATAGTTTTTTGCAGAAAGGTGATAAATATTATAAATTATTACAATAATTTGACAGAGTTTGATCCAGGTTGAAAGAATCATTATGTGACCAGTACCATCAATGTGTCCTGGTTTGATATTGAAACTGTTAAGAGTTGCATTTTGGGACAAGTTTCCTTGGTTTGGGTTGAAATACTACAGGTTTTAAATGTATTTTTATTTTTGACACAATCTGTAGGATTAAATGTGAATGCTAAAAGTATCTCAACACCTCCCCAAAATAAGTTTGTAAAATAGATACAAAACAAAAAGTAACCTAATTGAAATTTGACTATCACCTGACTAGTTCTGAAATAGAATTACATCATTTAAAATACTTCCCTCCTTTTATTTTCAGGATTCGATACAAAACAAAATTTATAGCAAAAAAATTTAAATAATTTTCTTCCAAAACATTATTCTTAAGCAGTCTCAAACAGATAATGACACTTGCTTAAATAGAAAATGAATCATATGAGAAACAAATTGTTGCTATACTTCCGTTCATGGATAAAACGCTTCCAAATATATATTGCTGGGGGAAGGGAAACAGATATGAAAAGTTCGTAGAGACCATTCGCCAACTTGGGAAGTGGAAAGGGATCACATGAACCCACCAAGCAGAATTTGCTGATATTCTATGAAATCACTAGGCATAGCACTCGACTCGAAGGATCAACCAAGAATAATCTGCTAAATACTAAGAAGGTTGGTATTCTTAATGCATAAGTGCCTAAAATTCTTAGAAGCCCCCCTCTAGAAGAGACACCAACCACCAAAACCCAGACAAACTCTTCTGATAATGGGCAACAACCACCAACTTCCAACCCCCCCACCTTACTTTCAGGCAACTCCTAAACTTATTTTCATTTTCTTTACCTTTTTCAACTCAAGATCCACGGATGCCGCCATTTTAACTAGCACAAAACCAGCTACGCATGCGCTTTAGGCAACAGTTTTAACTGACGGCATAACGGTCCTTTGTTCTCGTTCAGTCGAGACATGCGTAGTAGGGATCGATACGTGACGGCTGGTTTAGAGGATGGCGCGTTCGGGTTTTGTCTTGTTTTCGGTTTATCCACAAATTCACCTTATATCATTCAGTTGGCAATTTTAATGGCTTCAGTAAAAGTACACGCGCTTTTTTCTTTTCTGTCAAAACAACAGTTTCTTTATTGGTTCCCAAATAAAAAACATTGTATATGCAATCAATATAACACCGCGAAGCCTTGCTTGCAATCTTACACCCGTTCCACTCCTCAGCTTTCCTTGTGTTTTGCAGCTAACAAGTTATATGGACAGTAAATGAATGCAGTCTTGGAATTTCAGTCTGGTTCACCTCATATTTAAGCTAATTTGTGTTGTAGTATGCTGGGTCTTGGTTTATACATTGTATTCAGACATTTATTAAATAAGACACATATCAAGCCATAAACCATTGTTAAGTCACAGTGGTTTGGGTCACACATTTTGCTAAGCCAATACTTTTAACAAATCACATGGTTTACAGTAACACACTTAACCATTGTTTATTTAATAAATCACAGAAACTGAACTCAAACATCATACTAAGCCACATAAATCACATTTTGAATTACAGTAATGTGCATTGTATGGTTGGAAGAAATATCCTTCTGGGTTCAGTTCCAAGTGGGGAAGAAAGACACTGGAAACATGGTGACTGCTTAGAGAGATGATTTAATGGTGGACAGGATCACATGCTTTGGGTGAAGAAAGAAGGGCTGAGAGTCCCCTGGTTTTATACCCTTTTATATCTCTTGGGATTTGAATTGGAGCTTGTATTCTGATTGGTTGTCAGACTCCCATGGGGCCATGCAGCAGAAACTGTAGGCTGTCCTGAGTCCCAGGCTTGGTTGAACCTTGTTGGATGATGATGTAATGAAAGGGCTTTGGGCAATTCCTATTATAGCTCTGTCTGGAGTAGATCTTTGTTATGTAAAATAGATTGGCCTAAAACAGAGTAATGGTCCATTAGCAAAGGTGGGGGTGGGGCTGAGTTTCTGCCTCTCTGAGTTTCTACTTTTCTTTTTAAGGGAAATTGTTATGTCCGTGGAACTGGTGGGGGTTCCCAACCAGGTCCGCTGTTTGAGCGGGAGCACCAGCCGCTCCCATTGGTTGGCTCCGTTTGACAGTCGGCTATATAAGCCGGCTGTCGGGCAGAGCCAGCCTTGTTGTCGCCCGCTAGTCTGCAAGTTAGCAAGCAGACGCGACAACCCTTTATTCCCCGCAATAAAGCCTTGTTAGTTGTACGCTCTGGTCTCATGCCTCTTCCTTACCATCGCTCTACAACACTGGCGACGAGGATGGGATGGTCGAAGGCTAGCCAGACGCGTCTATTCAAAGAGCTGTAAATCACTGAGAGTGAAGTCACGAGCGCTGTAGCCGCAGCCGCGCAACGCTCACAAAGAGCGCGAAATTCAAACCACCATTACTCGAGCCGCAGTCACTGAAACGAGCCGCTGGCACTGTAGCTGTGGCCGCCAACGCTCCCCAAGAGCGCGAAATTCAAAAAGAGCTACGTAACCCAGAGAGACAGTCACAGCCTGCGCTCTTTTAAGAGCGCGATTTCAAAGATGATTGAAGAAGACGAACCCGACACTTCCCACGATGAATGCTAATCCACCATTCCCGCCATTCAAGCCAAACGAGGAAACGTGGGACTCCTACAAGAATCGCTTCAGCCATTTCCTCGATGCCATCGGGTTAGCTGATGCTGCGGAACATAGAAAGAAGTCTTATTTCCTCAGCTATTGTGGGGCCGCCGTTTTTGACACCGCTACAGCGTTAGTCGCACCACGCGCCATCAGAAGCGTCCCATGGGACGAATTACAAGAAATACTCTCCAATCACTACGCGCCAAAACCATCCCAGATCGCTAGAAGGTACGCCTTCAGAATCAGGAAGCAGGCAGTGGGGGAGTCGATCAACGAATACATGGCTGCCCTGAGGACAGCTGCCTTACAGTGCGGTTTCAAAGAATATCTGGAAGACATGCTGCTGGACCAGATCGTCTGTGGGGTTAGAGACCTGAGACTCCAAAGACGTTTGCTGGCAAAAAAGGACTTGAATCTGGCCCTAGCCATGGAGGAAGCCCTGGCTGCTGAGCTCTCTGCCCAGTTAGCAGCTGAGATTCAGGGCACTCCATTAAAGCCCAGCAGCCCAACCGTCCATTCTGAAGAAGTGCTCAGTGAAGAAGACCCCACAGACTCGTCAGACATCAACCGCCTTAAGCATCAGAAGCCTTCACAGGTAGGAGCGGGACAGATAAACAACTTCAAACAACCGCCCTTGTGCCTAACCTGCGGAGGCTCCCACTCAAGGGCATCCTGCAGGTTTAGAAACGCCATCTGTCTGAACTGCCAAAAGAAGGGTCACCTCGCTAGAGTATGCCAAGCAGGGCGCTCCTTGCCTCAAAGACCTCCACCACCTTCTATTTCCCAAAGGCAAGTGGAGGACTGCTATACCTGCTACCACGCTAACCATACTTCCCAAACCCCTGATAAAATTAAAATTTCTGTTTTCCTAGAAGGTAAACCCTGCAGGATGGAGGTAGACACGGGATCTGCGCTCTCAATCATCTCCTGGGACACTCTGAAGAAGATCCAGCCCAGACTGTCAAGGAAACAGCTCCAAAGATGCCACCTGACACTGCGGGACTACCAGGGCAAGAACATTCCTGTCCTCGGGAAAGGCAAGTTCCTCGTTCAATTCCAAGCCTTTAAAGGCCATTTGCCTTTAGTGGTTGTTAATGGTGCCCTCCCCAGCCTGTTGGGACTTGATTGGTTTCCTTTCCTTGGCCTTAGTGTAACTGGGATCCATGCTGTCTCAACTTCTGACGTAGATACATTATTTTCTGAATTTTCTGACGTATTTAGCAGCGAGCTGGGTTGCTATTCGGGCACCCCCATCTCGTTTTCCGTAGATCCCCAGGCAATTCCTCTCCACCTTAAGCCACGCAGGGTGCCTTTCGCCATCCGTCCTAGATTGGACGCAGAATTAGACAAACTACTTAAACAAGGGGTGTTAGAACCTACTGATTTCGCCAAATGGGAGACCCCCATAGTCACCCCACTCAAGAAGGATGGCAGTTTAAGAATCTGCGCAGACTATAAAACCACGCTCAACCGTTATTTACAGGTCAGCGCATACCCCGTCCCTGTTATTCAGCACCTGTTACACACATTCGAACCCGGCACCATTTTCGCCAAGTTAGATATGTCCCAGGCATACCAACAGTTCCCTGTTGATGATCAGACAGCTGAATTACAAACCATAGTCACACATAGAGGGGCATTCAAATGTAAGCGCCTCCAATTCGGGGTCAGTGTGGCCCCGGGTATTTTCCAATCACTCATGGAACGGATTCTCCAAGGTCTCCCAGGAGTTGTTCCGTATTTCGATGACATCTTAGTCTCAGCTACGAGCCAACCTCAACTCATTCAGAGGGTCAGGACAGTGCTAGAGAAGTTTAGGCAGCATGGCCTCAAACTTAAAAGGGAGAAGTGCACCATCGCCACTAGGCAGGTGGACTTTCTGGGTTATAGGATAGACGCCTCCGGCATCCACCCAATTGAGTCCAAGGTGAAGGCCATCCACGAGGCACCCACACCAACCAACAAGACTGAACTACAAGCCTTTCTGGGGCTTCTAAACTTTTACGCCTCATTCCTCCCGCACAAAGCATCAGTCGCTGAACCCCTACATAGACTCTTAGATAAAGACTCACCCTGGCATTGGGGGCCCAAAGAAGCCCACGCTTTCAAATCAGTCAAATCATTACTCACATCGGAAGCGGTTTTAGTCCAGTTCGATCAACGCCTTCCTCTGGTCCTGGCTGCTGACGCATCCCCTTTTGGGATTGGGGCTGTCCTAAGCCACAGACTCCCCAACGGCTCCGAGGCACCAATTGCCTTCTTTTCTAGGACCTTCTCCACGGCAGAAAGGAACTACAGCCAAATCGATAAAGAGGCCCTGGCTGCGGTTGCTGCAGTTAAGAAGTTCCACGAATTCTTGTTTGGCCACCATTTTGAACTTGTGACTGACCATAAACCTCTCCTAGGACTTTTATCTGGAGATAAGCAAACCCCGCAGGTACTTTCACCCAGAATGACCAGATGGACTTTGTTTCTGGCCGCCTACTCATTCAAGTTGGTGCATCGTCCTGGCAAGAACTTGAGTCATGCTGATGCCCTCAGTCGCTGCCCACTGCCAGTCCCAGTCGAGGACCCTGCACCAATTCACGCCATCTTTGAGGTCAACAAACTCAAACTTCCAGTGACAGCCGAAGACATCGCGGCGCACTCCAAAAAAGACAAAATAATCGCCCAGGTTCTGGACTGGGTGGGAAGGGGGTGGCCGGAAACTCAATGTACAGTTGACTTTGTTCCCTTTAAAACCCGCCAGCAGGAACTGTCGAGGCTACAGGGATGTCTATTGTGGGGCACAAGAGTAGTCATCCCAGCCACCCTTCGAGTACCCATCCTGAAGGTGCTTCACGAGGGCCATCCGGGCATCGTAAGGATGAAGGCGTTGGCCCGCAGCTACGTTTGGTGGCCCGGCATGGATGCTCAAATCGCCAACTGGGTAAGCTCTTGCCAACCCTGCCAAGAAACCAGGGCTGCCCCGCCCGCCGCCACGCCCACCAGGTGGGAAAGTGCTAGTGCCCCTTGGTCTCGCCTGCACATCGACCTGGCTGGACCAGTGCATGGCAAGACTTTCTTGGTGGTCGTGGATTCCTACTCCAAGTGGATTGACGTGGCCTTGCTTCCCACGACCACCACCCAAGCAGTAGTCAAAGCCCTGACCCGTTTGTTTGTCACCCATGGACTTCCAGACACGCTGGTGTCTGACAATGGCCCGCAGTTCACATCATGTGAGTTCAGTATGTACGTGGCTAATTTGGGCATCAGACATGTCCTTACAGCTCCCTTTTACCCCGCTAGCAACGGGATGGCAGAGAGAGCGGT